ACCCACACACACACCCACACACACACACAGACACACACACACACACACACACACACACACAGATACGCACACACACACAGATACGCACACACACACAGATACGCACACACACGCAGATACGCACACACACGCAGATACACACACAAACGCACGCACGCACACACACATACACACACACACACATGCACGCACACACACACACACACACACACACACACACACACACACACACACACACACACACACACACACACACACACAGAGAAAGAGCAGTGTTATTGCTGTGTCATTAAGAATATTTTATTAATATTTTTAAATTAGTCTTCATTTTCATATTTGTAATTTTCATTTCAATTTAAGTCTTAAATTTAAATTTTATTAAAAATGTTATTATTTTTGTTGTTTTTGTAATTTTTGTAATTTTATTTTTAAATAATTTTTGTTAGTATTTAGTCTTTTTAATGTCTATAGAGTTATAGATTATTTTAGCATGTAATTGCACATACATAAAAAGCTAAACTGTGGTTTGCACACTTTAACAAAGAATCACTTACATTGCAAATATATATAAGAAAACTAAAACCATTAAAAAAACATGTTCATTACATACTTAAGTGAAGCTAAATGAAACAAGAGAAATGTTGCCTTTGCAACTAGTTGTAATTAAATAGTTATTTTTTTACATTTTATTTCAGTGAACATTTATTATATATTATTTATTTTTTTAAGTAATATTGTTTGTTTTTTTAGATTACTATAACAACCCTTATTCAAATATATGAAAGAAAAAAAATCACTGAATTATTTTGGAAGTATTATATACATTTGTATTCAAATTCTCTCAAACTCTAGTGTGAAATCTGAACTTTTTTGTTAAAATGTGCATTTTCCCCTCCTCTTTTCATGCATATAAAAAACAAACAGGACAGAGTCTGTGTTGAACAAATAAAATAAAAGCACTTAAATCTTGTAGGCTCAGAGTGCAGATGAAATGTGTTTGTCATTCTTTAAGGTCACATAGATTTATATTTATGCATTTGGCAGATGCTTTTATCCAAAGTGACTTACACTGCATTTAAAGTGTGTGTGTTTCAGTTGATGCCTTCCCGGGGAATCGAACCCATGATCTACAGGAAAGCTGTTTCAGAATAACTTTGGTGGCGGTTGACCCTAATGAGACCAGTCTGTCTGAACAAGCTGCTGGTTTAAGCATCCTGTAGCCTACTAATCTGACCTCCATGTACTAGTCCATCAGTCCAACCCTGAACAGGCCAGAAAACAACAGTGCTGACTGATCTCAGTGCAGATCTTGCTTCAGTGGCCACTAAAATCATTTCATAATCATTTCCAGAACCAGACATGGCTTGTGCAAGGTGTCCTAAACCAAAGACCATCACGAAACCAGCACCCTTCACTGATCGGCCCATTATCTACTGATGTCTTCAATCCAAACACCGAAGCTTCACTGAAAGCTTGCATATGCTCCATATCTGAGATTAAAAATCACGTACACATAACCACCCTGTTGAAAAAACCAGCATATGCTGTTTAGGTATGTTTTGATGCTAGGATGCTGGTTTAAGATGGTCCTTTGCTGGTTTATGCTGGTCATGTGCTGGTTTATGCTGGTCATGTGCTGGTTTATGCTGGTCATGTGCTGGGACCAGCTTAAACCAGCATAAACCAGCAAAGGACCAGTTTCTGGTCTTTAATAGCTAATGCTCTCAAAAACATTATTTATACAACAATCATGCAATGTTTTTTTTCCTGTAACATTTTAGTCGGATGTTCTTCTGAAGTTTTTATAAATGTTGCTACTCGTTCAGAGAACATTCAAAAGTAACGTTCCAATAATGTGCCACAAAACGATTAAATGCAACATTGTAATTAATCATTTTGTAACACATTAATGTGTCATAAGCGTTTACAAAATCTGGAGGTTTGAACGTTCAGAGAACACTGAAGAAATAATGTTTTCATAAGCTAAACAAAGCGGATGTCGCTGTTACACTGACGCGATCGGATCCGCGGGTTTTGTCAGATCAAGAGATGCTCGACCTTCTTGATGTTCGTGTAGGTGTAGAAGTAAAGTTCCCTGCCGATGTTGAAGCACACTCGCTCCGAATCCTCGCTGGGGTCCTCCGGCTTCAGCTTCACCATCGACACCCGCACCGGCGGCAGGAAGCCCGGAGAGGAGTTGGCGGCGGCGGCCCCGGGCCCCTGCACCAGCCCAACACCGGCACCGCCGCCCGCGCCCGGCCCCACCGTCACGCCCGCCGAGGAGCCCCGCGGCAGCCCGGCCCGCTGCTGAGAGTCCGAGAGGGTGAGCAGCTTGTAGAATCCCTCGCGGGTCCGGAACTGCGATTTAATCTCATTGATATCCTTCAGAGCGCCTCCATCTGCGGCCATCTTCAGTCCACAGGAAGCCGCGCCTCTGACCTGGAAATGATGCGGAAAACTACAGGCAAAATGGGAGCAGCGCTCAACCGAGATGAAGATGATGATGATGATGCTCCAGACTCAGAGTCACTGTGATCTCAGCATCATCAACATTTACTACTATCTATCTATCTAAGAAAAAAATTTTCAGGAACATTTTGCTACTGTTCCCATTATATTATGAAAACATTATTATGGAATGTTTTTAGAACTGAAATGTTTTAAAATCGTTTTTTCTTGGTTATGTGAACGTCAGAGAAAACGTTAAGGGAACGTTCAATTGTACCATTTTGCAAACATTAGGAGAATGTTACTTTTGAGTGTTCTCTGAACGTTCTGAAACAAATAGTAACATTAAAAAAACAGACATTCAACTTTGAACTAACGTTGTATAAATGTTAAAGGAGACATATTATGCCCCTTTTTACAATATGTAATATAAGTCTCTGGTGTCCCCAGAATGTGTCTGATTATAGCACTTAAAACCTGGAAAAGACAGATTTTCATGATATGTCACCTTTAATGGAAGAACATTTGTTCATAATTTCCCCATTACCTATCTATCTATCTATCTATCTATCTATCTATCTAACAAAAATATGTTCTTAGAACATTTTGTACGTTCCCATTAAATTATGAAAACATTATTGAGTATTCTCAAATCATTCAAAACATCCAGTGTTATTTATTTATTTTAATGTATTGATTATGTGTATCTTGGTTATGTGAATGTCAGAGAAAACTTAAATGGAACGTTAAAATTGAATGTTTGCAAACATTATGAGAATGTTACTTTTGAGTGTTCTCTGAACATTCTGAAACAAGTAGTAAATAGTAACATTTAAAAAGCAGACAAACATTGCAGAAAAACGTTCCATGATTGATGTATAAAGTTTTATTTTTTTATTTTTATTTTTAAAAACCCAGATAACTTTGAACTAACATATTAATTTTACTGGAAGAACGTTAGTTCATAATTTCCCCATTATCTGTCTATCTATCTATCTATCTATCTATCTATCTTCTTACATGATGAATGTGTAGCATTTGTAAAATGAGACTCATATTTGTATAACCACCTTGAATGGCTTTTATTTCAGTTTCAGTTACATTAATATCTCCGGTTGATTTCACACAGAACTTTATTAATCTAAAACAGACGTGCAAATACTCCAGTTCCTCCAGAAACAATCTGCTCTGCCTGAGATATTCAGCAGACCTTAACTGTCCCGTCAGAACAACAGCAAACAGACAGAAGATCTGACCAGGCGGGTACTGTAATGATGGCGCTGTCAGAACCTGCTGTGTCTCAGCATTGTATAAAGCGCTATACAAATAAAGGTGACTTGATTTGAAATACTCAGAAATCTAGAAATACAGCTCTAGGCTTCCCGTCTACATTCTCACCTGCTCTGGATTTCTCTGTTTCTGAATCTTACTGTGCAGCAAACTAGTCAGAAACTGTACAAGTTGGTCTTCTTGTAATGGTTCACCAGTGGACTGATCACTGAGAGATCACACACACACACACACACACACACACACACACACACACCGACTGCAGACAGACGTGGCCTGTGTTCTCACACCTGACCTCTTTATTAACACCAGGAGGAGTTTAATTAATAACAGAAGTTGGCTGTGTGTGTTTGGGAAACAGGGGCGGAGTCAACTGTCTCCAGGATGTACAGATTACAGAGTCCTGATTGGTCATCACATGCTCGCTTCTCCATGACAACAATTCTGTTGATAGGAATCAAACATACCATAATTAAATGAAATTAATTAATGATCTTGCGCCACCACCTCTTAAACAATGTGTTATTTTCTATAAGGACAATTGTTGGGAAATGTAAGAAAACTGTCTTTGGACAAACAGCTTTTTTCAGTTAGAGCAGCAGAAAGATGAAAGATCATATTAGAGAGTGTACATCACAAATCTGCACTCAAAATATGGCTTAAGAAAAATCAAATATGTGATCACTGATTTTTTTAATGTTTTTTTTTGTGATTTGATATTGTGATAATGTAATTTGTGATATTGTCATGTGATACAGGTGCATCTCAATAAATTAGAATGTCGTGGAAAAGTTCATTTATTTCAGTAATTCAACTCAAATTGTGAAACTCATGTATTAAATAAATTCAATGCACACAGACTGAAGTAGTTTAAGTCTTTGGTTCTTTTAATTGTGATGATTTTGGCTCACATTTAACAAAAACCCA